GCTTCAGTGACGCTCCGGAGGAAAGGACGTGGATTCACGTGACGCTCCGGAGGAAAGGACGTGGCTTCACGTGACGCTCCGGAGGAAAGGACGTGGCTTCAGTGAGACCCCGGAGGAAAGGACGTGGCTTCACGTGACGCTCCGGAGGAAAGGACGTGCTTCACGTGACGCTCCGGAGGAAAGGACGTGGATTCACGTGACGCCGGAGGAAAGGACGTGGATTCACGTGACGCTCCGGAGGAGGAAAGGACGTGGCTTCACGTGACGCTCCGGAGGAAAGGACGTGGCTTCACGTGACGCTCCGGAGGAAAGGACGTGGCTTCACGTGACGCTCCGGAGGAAAGGACGTGGCTTCACGTGACGCTCCGGAGGAAAGGACGTGGCTTCACGTGACGCTCCGGAGGAGGAAAGGACGTGGCTTCACGTGACGCTCCGGAGGAAAGGACGTGGCTTCACGTGACGCTCCGGAGGAAGGACGTGGCTTCACGTGACGCTCCGGAGGCTTCACGTGACGCTCCGGAGGAAAGGACGTGGCTTCACGTGGACGCCCCGGAGGAAAGGACGTGGCTTCACGTGACGCTCCGGAGGAAAGGACGTGGCTTCACGTGACGCTCCGGAGGAAAGGACGTGGCTTCACGTGACGCTCCGGAGGAAAGGACGTGGCTTCACGTGACGCTCCGGAGGAAACGACGTCTCTTAAAACTCATTTCCCTGCGTCTCTCCATGCTTCCTTGGTGGGAGGGACTAGACGCAAGGAAACGACGCAAGTGAGGGACGCAAGGAATCCATTTAACCGAAGTGAGATGCAGCTTCTGTCTCCTACTTCTCTTCCCTTAGTCTTCCTCCTACTTTACCCCCTACTTCCTCTTCCTCTTCATCCTCACAGATGAATGATCTGAAGCTTCTCTCATGTCTTTGCCTCTTCTTTATTTATTCATGTCTTCAGGGACAGAGCACATTCATCAAACGTTAGCCAAGAGGCTGTTCTCAAAACATGCAACATCCAGTCCTGGAAACACAACAGAACAATAAAACAAACCCTCTTCTTCATCGATTCTTCCTCACTTTACCATTCCCTCTCCTCCTCCTCCATCTCTTCCTCTCCTCCTCCTCCATCTCTTCCTCTCCTCCTTACCTCCTCCTCGTCACAGATGAAGGATCTGAAGCCATTTTGTTTTTCGTCTGGTCTTAAAGGACACGTCGATCACTTTCACGTTTTTTAGAAACTGACGTTTTTATCAAGTTGTTTTTTAAAGACGTTTCTGAATCGTGGACATTTTTCCTTTTTCATTCCCATCGTTTGGATTATTGTTGTAGAAACATTGTTAGACTGTAGAGACTTTCCAAAGCAAACAGCAATGAGATGTTTTTATCAGTTTGATGTTTCTTTCCTGAATTCACTTGAATCTTAACTTTAACCTTAAACGCTGAATTCAAGTATGATTTATAGTTAGTATTTATTGTGATGTGACATGGAGCTGTCAGACTGCTGAACACTGACTGGCTCTTTCTTCTTCTCACACTGACCACCGTGTTTTTACAAAGTCATGGATTCTTTTTTATTGTTGTTAGAGAAACACTTTTAGGGTTTGTTGGGTTTAAATTTGGGGTCAAATTGTTGTGAAACTTTTTCACTAACAAACAAACAGGTCAAATGTTTTTTTGTCAATATGTAATAAAAGTTTGAGACTTATTAAGAGGTTTGTGTTTTTATGAAGGTTAACTTTTGTTATTACACGGTCAAATACTCGATTCTGATTGGTCGACGGACAGGAAGTAAACACTAAAGGGAACAGCAGAAGAAGACAGACAGGAAGTAAACACTAAAGGGAACAGCAGAAGAAGACAGACAGGAAGTAAACACTAAAGGGAACAGCAGAAGAAAACAGACAGGAAGTAAACACTAAAGGGAACAGCAGAAGAAGAAGACAGGAAGTAAACACTAAAGGGAACAGCAGAAGAAGACAGACAGGAAGTAAACACTAAAGGGAACAGCAGAAGAAGAAGACAGGAAGTAAACACTAAAGGGAACAGCAGAAGAAGACAGACAGGAAGTAAACACTAAAGGGAACAGCAGAAGAAGACAGACAGGAAGTAAACACTAAAGGGAATTTAAGTGGGGGTCCACATTTGGGGAGAGATTGAGGTGAAACTAACTTTTTCCCTATCAAACAGGTCAACGTTCTAAAATAAAAATAAAAGACTAATTCAGATTTTTCTGTGTTTATGAACTTTTATTAGCTTCATAAATGTAACATGATTATTTTCCTGGGATCTTCAGAAGTTAGTCCATCCTTGTTGCAACCACAGGAAGTCTCTACCAAAATAAAAAGTCCAGTCTTCCAGCTCCGGTGAAGTACCTGAAAGGATAGTTTATTTCCTGAGAAGATGTCTCACTCGTACCCTGATCCTGGGTCTGTTCTGTCAGAGGGGGAACAGCAGGAAGCCGGAGAAGATGTCTCACTCGTACCCTGATCCTGGGTCTGTTTTGTCAGAGGGGGAACAGCAGGAAGCCGGAGAAGATGTCTCACTCGTACCCTGATGGGGTCTGTTTTGTCAGAGGGGGAACAGCAGGAAGCCGGAGAAGATGTCTCACTCGTACCCTGATCCTGGGTCTGTTCTGTCAGAGGGGGAACAGCAGGAAGCCGGAGAAGATGTCTCACTCGTACCCTGATCCTGGGTCTGTTTTGTCAGAGGGGGAACAACAGGAAGCCGGAGAAGATGTCTCACTCGTACCCTGATCCTGGGTCTGTTTTGTCAGAGGGGGAACAACAGGAAGCCGGAGAAGATGTCTCACTCGTACCTGATCCTGGGTCTGTTCTGTCAGAGGGGGAACAGCAGGGAGCCGGAGAAGATGTCTCACTCGTACCCTGATCCTTGGTCTGTTTTGTCAGAGGGGGAACAGCAGGGAGCCGGAGAAGATGTCTCACTCGTACCCTGATCCTGGGTCTGTTCTGTCAGAGGGGGAACAGCAGGAAGCCGGAGAAGATGTCTCACTCGTACCCTGATCCTGGGTCTGTTTTGTCAGAGGGGGAACAGCAGGGAGCCGGAGAAGATGTCTCACTCGTACCCTGATCCTTGGTCTGTTTTGTCAGAGGGGGAACAGCAGGGAGCCGGAGAAGATGTCTCACTCGTACCCTGATCCTGGGTCTGTTTTGTCAGAGGGGGAACAGCAGGGAGCCGGAGAAGATGTCTCACTCGTACCCTGATCCTGGGTCTGTTTTGTCAGAGGGGGAACAGCAGGAAGCCGGAGAAGAGGTCTCACTCGTACCCTGATCCTGGGTCTGTTTTGTCAGAGGGGGAACAGCAGGGAGCCGGAGAAGATGTCTCACTCGTACCCTGATCCTGGGTATGTTCTGTCAGAGGGGGAACAGCAGGGAGCCGGAGAAGATGTCTCACTCGTACCCTGATCCTGGGTCTGTTTTGTCAGAGGGGGAACAGCAGGGAGCCGGAGAAGATGTCTCACTCGTACCCTGATCCTGGGTCTGTTTTGTCAGAGGGGGAACAGCAGGAAGCCGGAGAAGATGTCTCACTCGTACCCTGATCCTGGGTCTGTTCTGTCAGAGGGGGAACAGCAGGAAGCCGGAGAAGATGTCTCACTCGTACCCTGATCCTGGGTCTGTTCTGTCAGAGGGGGAACAGCAGGAAGCCGGAGAAGATGCTGAAGTTTCGGGAGTCGTCGTAGAGTCGGTAACTCGCCGGCAGTCTGAGGCGAACGATGTCCCCTTCGTCCAGCTGCAGAGCGACGCCATTGGACGTTGAAGCGTAGCCACCGTGGTCGTTCAGCTCCAGGTTGAAGATGATTGGCCGGTTGTTCTTGTACAGGTAGAGACCCATGTAACCCTTCAGGTAATCTGCAGCCGTGAAGCTGAAGAAGTAAAGTCCTCTGACCGGAGCCGTAAACACACCTGAGAAAAACAGAGCAGTTTGACGTTAACACACAAGGAGGAGAGAGGGCTTTAGATGTTCCGTATTCCTTTAAGCTTTATTGTACATGTTATATCAGGATCAGGGTCTGAAGACTTTTCTTTTTGTACCTTTGTTATTCATGTTTTATTATCTCTGCTTTTAAAGGTGGGGTAGGTAAGTTTGAGAAACCGGCTGGAGATACACTTGTTGTTATATTCCATGGAATGCTCTTAACATCCTGATAGCAATGAATATCTGAAGTGCTTTGACAATAAATCCATAATAAATATCATCTGTGGAAGCTGTAGTACTGTAAAAAGCACGACCAATCATCTGAGCCGGCCCGGCTAAAGTAACTGGATGGCCTACCTGCCTGTCAGCCTTCCATCTGTGCACAAACTTATCTCGTGCCCTCATTGGTCATGTGCACGTTCGTGTGTGTTGGAGGAGGGGCTCTGTGAGGAAGTGGCAGATTTTCTCCGGTTGTGTATTTTCAAATTCCAGCGATCTCAAGCCGGTTTCTCAAACTTACCTACCCCACCTTTAAATGAGTGTTTTTAAATGCCATTTTATAATATGTTTCTTAATGCTCTTAATGTCTTTCATTTCTGTAAAGCACTTTGAATTGCCTTGTGTTGAAAGATGCTATATAAATAAACTTGCCTTTAAGGACAATTAATTAATTTATTTTATTTTTTTATTTAACCAGATAAAAACATTGAGATCAAATCTCATGTTCAAAGCTGACCTGGCCAAGAAGGCAGCAACGTGACACAGAACACAGACATATCAAATACAGAGAACATAACTAAGAAACCAAAAGAGGAAAAAGCAGTCTCTACATTGAGCACATCAGGACAGTAAGAAAAGTACTTGTTACTGCAAGAGCAGCTGGTGGTGAGGACTTCAGACAACTTCCATTTAAAGCATGCTATTGAGACAAGTGCCCTCAGTTTGAGGCGTGACTGAAGGTCATTCCAAGACCAAGGACCATCATGAGAAAGACTCCTTTCTCCAGCCTCAGTCCGCACAGCAGGAACCTGGACCCGTATCTTAAACCTTTGGTGAGGCAGCTTTAGATATTTACATTATTAAAATACTTTATTGTATTTCAGTTTTATTCTCTATTTATTGTATTTTAGTCGAACATTTGATTTGATGTTTTATTGTTATTTCAAGTTTTTTTCTTTTACTATAAATGTTATTACTACATTATTTTTGTCTTATCGGTTACTTTGTCTTATATTAGGCTTGTCAGTCATCAGTGAAGCATTTTCTAGTAACCTGTATGAAAGGTGCAAATAAAGCTCTGAATCACAGACTGTATAGAAATGAACATTTGTTGTTCTTTAGATAACGGTCAGGTCTTTAAAGCGATGTGGTTTACCTGCAGTCTGGTTGTAGGCCTGGCCGATGTTGGTGATGGTTTTCGAGAAAATCAGCGTCCTCTCCTCGTTGAAAGGTCCGACTGATCCTGAATCAGTCAAACCGGCTGAGAACGCCACCTTCAGCTCACCTGGAGGAAGAAAAATCAATAATAAAATGATTTTATTATTGATAACATCATCAATTATAGAAAAAACAAGGCATTTGTTTTAGAATTGGTCGAACTTTTTACATCCAAAAGTGACTTAAGGGAGGGTGTGGCTCAGTGGGTTAGTGCGCTGATCTTCGAATCAGATGATAGCAAGTTCGAGTCCCACTGCAGTCAGCATGTCGTTGTGTCCCTGAGACACTTCACCCCAAAGTGCTCCTGTGGGGATTGTCCACTGTACTGAATGTATGTAAGTCGCTTTGGATAAAAGCGTCTAACAAGTGTCACGTCACGTCACGTCGCGTCACGTCACGTCACGTCACGTCACGTCAGGTAACGTCACGTCACGTCACGTCACGTCACGTCACGTCACGTCGCGTCACGTCGCGTCACGTCGCGTCGCGTCGCGTCGCGTCGCGTCGCGTCGCGTCGCGTCGCGTCACGTCACGTCACGTCACGTCACGTAACGTCACGTAATGTAATGTAATAATGTAATGTAATGTAATGTAATAATGTAATGTAATGTAATGTAATGTAATGTAATGTAATGTAATGTAATAATAATGTAATGTAATGTAATGTAATGTAATAATGTAATGTAATGTAATGTAATAATGTAATGTAATGTAATGTAATGTAATAATGTAATGTAATGTAATAATGTAATGTAATGTAATGTAATGTAATGTAATAATGTAATGTAATGTAATGTAATGTAATAATGTAATGTAATGTAACTTAATAATGAATAGCTTAATCTTTCTTAACTAGTTAAAACCAAAGATAAATATTTGGTTGTGAAGAAGTTGAGTCCAAACCTGAGTTGGTGTTTCTGAGCTGATGTAGACTGTCATCAGTTTCATTCAGTCTGAAGCTCAAATCTGAAAATCAGAAAACAGTTAGAGAGACAAAGAGTTAGACAAAACACAGCAAACTGATAGTATACTTATTTTTAGATTTGTTTTGCTTGATAACAGCAGGAGTCCTGATGTTTGTCTGGATGTCAACTACTTTCATTCAGGCGAAATATGTGATTGCCTGACCATGAATACAAATGTAACCTTCACAAAATCTGATTTATTTAGAGTTAGTTTGTTACCTGTGTTTTCTGTCTTCAGATCTTCCAGTAGTTTCTCATTGACGCTCAGTCTGACCTCCAACCCTAAAGAAAAAACGTTTTGGGTCCATTATGTTTATACAGGAGTTCCTCAGGGAAATGTGTTGGGTCCTCTGCAGTTTCACTTTTATTAATCACTTAATGGTTCTCTTTCTTTTTAGCAAAAACATAATGACTTCACTGCAAAGTAATAATGAATCTGTATGAATTGTATAGTTAATTTATATTTAATAAAACATTTAAATAAACTTTGCATGCGTTACCTGTGTTTTCTGTCTTCAGATCTTCCAGCTGTTTCTCACCGACACCCAGTCTGACCTCCAACTCTAAAAATAAACACAGTAAATATCTGATTAATTAATAACTAAGAAAACAAAACTTGTGTTAATGAAAAGTAAATATAACTCTACCTGAGGTGCCGTTGTGTCTGTCCGTCAGTCTGGACTCCATCAAGGAAAGTTGAACCGACTGAACTGAAAATAGAAATTAAAATCATAAGCACATTTATTTTCTGGTTCAAACTTATTTTTCTTGTTCTAACTAAATGTAATTTTATCAATAAATTAAAACAGGTTTCAAATCACAAACTAGTTTCCAGCATTCTAATATTACATTACATTTCACTTATAATACAGAAAAGCGCTTGATTATAAAGGTTTTTCAGATATTTTAGTAGAAACTCTGAATATGGAACTCCAGAAACCCAAGAGCTTTGGATATAACCAATATATATGAGGTAAAGTGGATGGTGGTGGGTATCGACGACCAGGGACGTGCACAAACATTTTGGGGGGCAGGTGCTCAAGTGAGAAAAAGGGCACTTCCCATAATCATTTATAAAAAAAATGTTTTAAAACAAAAAGTTAAATATACATTACATCACAGTACATGTTACTTGTTAGACGCTTTTATCCAAAGCGACTTACATACTCAATACTGTGGACAAACCCCACAGGAGCACTTTGGGGTGAAGTGTCTCAGGGACACAACGACATGCTGACTGCAGTGGGGTTTGAACCTGTGACCCCCTGATCCCAACACCAACGCACTAATATCTAATAATGATGAATGATGTCAGTAAATTACCTGAACTTTCAGTCTGGAGCTTCATCATCAGACTGCCAGCCTCACTTAGCCGTGTCTCTAAGACTGAACAAAAGTTAAATCTAGCTGTTTTATTCTCACTGTTAAAGTTTTGCTGTTAATAGATATAAATATTTACCTTTAGTTTCATTTCTCAGAGCAGATAGGTCAAAGCTGTGAGCTGAAACAGGTTCATAAAACTCATTATCTTATGTTGACAGCACACAAATCTTAAAAAAGATTGAACATAAGGAGATGATGTTACCTTCAGTCTCCATCACAGCTGCTGATAGTCTGTCTGAAACAGACAACACACGAGGTCACATTATAGAATAAGAATAAATAACAAATGTATTTATATGATATATCTGAGGTCACCTGTGTTATGTGTCCTCAGCTCTTCTACCTGCCCCTCATTGACGTTCAGTCTCAGATTTACACCTGACAGCTCAACTGGAGGGACGGAAATACCTTTTAAACTTTTTATTCAAACTGATATCCACACAGACAACACATACTTAAAACATATGTAATACTATGTAACACTTGCACTCCTATTGGCTAGCTCTCCAACACATTGTACGTGATAGGCTAAGGGGCGGGACATCTCTAAGCGGTTGACCAATCACAACAGAGCCGGCCAGCTAACCAATCAGAGCAGACTGGGCTCTGGTTTCAGACAGAGGGTGAAAAGAGTTGCAGCAGCACAGGCAGCAGGAGAGGACTCTTTAAAGTAGAGACATTACACACTGATATACACCTGAACATCAACAGGAGAGGACTCTTTAAAGTAGAGACACTACATACTGATACACACCTGAACATCAGCAGGAGAGGACTCTTTAAAGTAGAGACACTACATACTGATATACACCTGAACATCAGCAGGAGAGAACTCTTTAAAGTAGAGACACTACATACTGATATACACCTGAACACCAGCAGGAGAGGACTCTTTAAAGTAGAGACACTACATACTGATATACACCTGAACATCAGCAGGAGAGAACTCTTTAAAGTAGAGACACTACATACTGATATACACCTGATCATCAGCAGGAGAGGACTCTTTAAAGTAGAGACACTACATACTGATATACACCTGAACATCAGCAGGAGAGGACTCTTTAAAGTAGAGATACTACATACTGATACACACCTGAACATCAGCAGGAGAGGACTCTTTAAAGTAGAGATACTACATACTGATATACACCTGAACATCAGCAGGAGAGGACTCTTTAAAGTAGAGACACTACATACTGATATACACCTGAACATCAGCAGGAGAGGACTCTTTAAAGTAGAGACACTACATACTGATACACACCTGAACATCAGCAGGAGAGGACTCTTTAAAGTAGAGACACTACATACTGATATACACCTGAACATCAGCAGGAGAGAACTCTTTAAAGTAGAGACACTACATACTGATATACACCTGAACATCAGCAGGAGAGGACTCTTTAAAGTAGAGACATTACACACTGATATACACCTGAACATCAACAGGAGAGGACTCTTTAAAGTAGAGACACTACATACTGATACACACCTGAACATCAGCAGGAGAGGACTCTTTAAAGTAGAGACACTACATACTGATATACACCTGAACATCAGCAGGAGAGGACTCTTTAAAGTAGAGACACTACATACTGATATACACCTGAACATCAGCAGGAGAGGACTCTTTAAAGTAGAGACACTTCATACTGATATACACCTGAACATCAGCAGGAGAGGACTCTTTAAAGTAGAGACACTACATACTGATATACACCTGAACATCAGCAGGAGAGGACTCTTTAAAGTAGAGACACTACATACTGATATACACCTGAACATCACCTCAACAAAACTCTCTGAATGATGTGAGATGACGTATGGTGGGGATGGCAGCTCTGTGCCCCTCTGGTCATTATTTTTTTGCCACACACATTACATTACAAAATACTCTGAGCATGCGCAGTGTAGTTTTTACAGTCACCGTTCACTTCACAGCGAGAGGGAGGGGCATCATCAGGTTTTGTCCCACATGGCTCTAAACAGCTCAATAGGCACACACTGTGACTGTAGACACTAATTAGAAGAACACAGACTAAAACAGCAATGTGCAGACGAATCAGATGATTCAACATGATCTTAAAATATATTTTATATATTTCTTTATTTATTTTTTGCATTTTTTGTAATCATTATTTGTAATACTCTCTGCTGACACTAGGTGGCGCTGCACCACCATCCACTTTACCTCATATATATTGGTTATATCCAAAGCTCTTGGGTTTCTGGAGTCCCATATTCAGAGTTTCTACTAAAATATCTGAAAAACCTTTATAATCTAGCGCTTTTCTGTATTCAAACTGAAGATAACCTTTTACCAAACCAATCAGAATGCTTGAAAAGAAGTTATTAGGAAGCTAATTGGATAGTACAACAAAACAAGAACGTTATTTATTCAAACTAAAACTGACATTGAAGAGTTGATGATTTACCTGCAGTGTGGTTTTCCAGCTGTCGCAGCTTCGTCTCAGTGGATCTCAGTCTCCCCTCCAGAGCTGCACAACAAAACATTTATACCTTTAATTAGTCTAAGTTTCAACTCTTCAGTAACTTAGTGATCACGAGAAACATGAATGTAGATATATCTACCTGTACTCTTGTAGTGGTCGTCTATCAGTTTGTTCTTTATGTAGAAAAGTTGACCAGAGTGAACTGAAAACACATAATCAGTTCCAAAACTGTTCAAAAGAAATACATTTTATTATAATAAATCTGCATTTTTGTAGGTTAAATAATGTATATCTTAAACATCATATGAATAAACAGTGATATATAATTATAGGTTAAGATATCCAGCAGCAGTATATCAAGTAAAGGTTGCTCCACTTGTAACAGCTGTGATGAACACATTAACGGAAACAAAATAAAATAATCCAGTAATTCAATATATAAGATTCTAAAATGGGACATTGGGCACAGTAAGTACTTTTACTATTTTCTTATCCCAATACGTCTCAGTTTATGCTGCTTTATACTTCAACTCCACTACAATTTGGAAACCAGTATTGTACTTTTTACTCCACTGCATTTATTTGACAGCTTTTAGTTACTATAGATAGATATTGATTAAGAGATCATTCAAAACATAAATCAATTATTAAATACACTTTGACAGATATCTCTAGGTTAGGATATCCAGCAGCAGGACATCAAGTTATTACAATGAGCTCTACATTTACTAACTGTGATAAAACACATCAATAATCATTATAGTAACTCAATGCCATTCTGAAAAGGGTCATAATAAGGAGTACTTTTAATTTGGCTACTTTAAGTATATTTTGATACCAATGCTTTTGTACTTTTAATTGTAACAGAGTATTTTTACCCTGTAGTATTTCTGCTTTTACTTAGTAGAATATCTGAGTACTTCTTACACCACTGCTACCATGAGTGTGGAGCCGTGTGCTACAAAAGCCTGAATTTAAAACAGATATTTTACAGCTGAAGACTGTTTTCAAATGTAGAGCAGGTTGTGAGCGAGGCTCAGTTTGTAAATGAGGAAACAGTTCAGAGTGTCTGCTCTTCCTCCTGGAGTGAGTCAGAGGGTGTTTCTCAATCGCGAGTACGCTTGCTTGGTAGCACATGTCTGCCGAGCATCTTGCTTCAGAAGCGAGGCACGAATACTTCCTGCCAGCCTTTACTCGCGATTGAGAAACACCCAGAGTTTGATAAGCCCTCCCTCTCCTTCCTGCTCTCAGACACAGCCAGCTCCACTCTGTGTTTCCTGGCTCCTCCCCTTCAGATCCACACTGAGGAGGAGGGGTGTAACCAACATGTGGGTAAAGCACAAGAGCTGATAGGCCACATTCACTGCTCACACACGTCCTGTTCAGATCACAGCTCACATAGTTTCAGCTCTCAGGAAGTGAAACTCAGACACTCGCTGCTACTGAGAGGTGAAATGGCGCAGAAAGGAGTTCAGCTGGACCGGGAACTCTTATCTTGTTCCATCTGTCTGGATCTACTGAAGGATCCGGTGACTACTTCCTGTGGACACAGCTACTGCATGAAGTGTATTAAAGGCTTCTGGGACGGAGAGGATGAGAAGAAGATCCACAGCTGCCCTCAGTGCAGGCAGAGCTTCACACCGAGGCCTGTCCTGCTGAAGAACACCATGCTAGCAGCTTTAGTGGAGGAGCTGAAGAAGACTGGACTCCAAGCTGCTCCTGCTGATCTCTGCTATGCTGGAGCTGAAGATGTGGCCTGTGATGTCTGCACTGGGAGGAAACTGAGAGCCTGTAAGTCCTGCCTCGTGTGTCTTATATCTTATTGTGACCAACACCTCCAGCCTCATTATGAATCACCTGCCTTTAAAAAACACAAGCTGGTGGAGCCCTCCAAGAAGCTCCAGGAGAACATCTGCTCTCGTCACGACGAGGTGATGAAGATGTTCTGCCGCACTGATCAGCAGTGTATCTGTTATCTCTGCTCTGTGGACGAACACAAAGGCCACGACACGGTGTCAGCTGCAGCAGAGAGGACTGAGAGGCAGAGAGAGCTGGAGGGGAGTCGACTAAACATCCAGCAGAGAATCCAGGACAGAGAGAAGGAGGTGAAGCTGCTTCAGCAGGAGGTGGAGGCCGTCAATGGCTCTGCTGATAAAGCAGTGGAGGACAGTGAGAAGATGTTCACTGAGCTGATCCGTCTCATGGAGAAGAGAAGCTCTGATGTGAAGCAGCAGCTCAGATCCCAGCAGAAGAGAGAAGTGAGTCGAGTCAAAGAGCTTCAGGAGAAGCTGGAGCAGGAGATCTCTGAGCTGAAGAGGAGAGACGCTGAGCTGAAGCTGCTGTCTCACACAGAGGATCACAACCAGTTTCTGCACAGCTACCCCTCACTGTCAGCCCTCAGTGAACCTACACACTCCTCCAGCATCAACATCCGTCCTCTGAGCTACTTTGAGGACGTGACGGCGGCCCTGTCAGCACTCAGAGACAAACTACAGGACGTCCTGAGAGAGGAATGGACAAACGTCTCACCGACTGAAGTGGAGGTTTTACTGTCAGCAGCAGAGCCCACCACCAGAGCTGGGTTCTTACAATATTCACAGGAAGTCACTCTGGATCCAAACACAGCAAACACACATCTGTTATTATCTGAGGGGAGCAGAAAAGCAACACTCATGAAACAACATCAGTCTTATTCTAGTCACCCAGACAGATTCACTTGTTATGAGCAGGTCCTGAGTAGAGAGAGTCTGACTGGACGTTGTTACTGGGAGGTGGAGTGGAGAGGGGGGAGCAGTTTGTGTTGCAGTCACATACAAGAATATCAGCAGAGCAGGGTGGAGGACTGAATGTTCATTTGGATACAATGACAAATCTTGGTCCTTATTTTGTCACCAAAGCAGTTATACATTTCGTTACAACAATATCCTCACTCCCGTCTCAGGTCCTCTGTCCTCCAGAGTAGGAGTGTACCTGGATCACAGAGCAGGTGTTCTGTCCTTCTACAGCATCATCTCTGAAACCATGACTCTCCTCCACAGAGAGCAGACCACATTCACTCAGCCGCTACATGCTGGGGTTCAGCTTTGTGATCAAGGAGACACAGCTGAGTTGTGTAACCTGAAATAGCCTGAAGTCATTTGAGGAACTCTTCTACTTCTTAAAGTCACCGTGTGTCCATCAGAGCTGATTGCTCATGTCTTCACTGCACAGAGATCAGCTGTCAATCAAACATGATGGGATGTGCTTGAACATCTTCTCATGAGTTGTTGTAGATGTTGGAGTTCCTTTAGGCGGCGCTCCTTCCTGTCTCTGTGTAGCCACGGAGGCTGTCTCTGCTCAGGAGGGTTTCTGTTAACCTCAACTCATATCTCTCTGCATGGAAATGTAAACTTTGCTCTAGATACTTGTTGAATATCGATATTGATGTATTTGTATGTTGTTATTTCTCTTGTAAAGCATGAGAGAGAGAGAAAGCACCAGAGCTTCTTTCATTGGAGATATTTTATTCTAAAGGTCTTTTATTTTTGACTTAGTCTCAAAGTGTTGAATGCATTAATGAAAGATACAAAATAAATAAAACTAATATAAAGAAAAGTCATAAAAAATAAAAGCTAACAGGTTGAGTTTGTAATAAATTGTGTTTCTATTTTCACGATGTGAGATGAGCGCCACATTTACATGTCTGTACAAAATTAAATGTTTGGGGTTTTTCTTGTTAATAAAAGAGCTAAGAGGAACAAAGGTCTCAGTCTTTTGTTTTTTGAATTATAAAAATATCTCTAAATGATTGTTCTGAAACAAGATAGTATTGTATTTATCTGTAGGGTTAAGAAAATGTCAATAAATTCAGATTTTCTCAGTTTTGTTCAGAAAAACGTGAACATCTTTTAGCTCAGTGATTCTCAAATGGGGGTACGCGGACCCCCAGGGGTACGTTGGGGTACTGCAGGGGGTACGCGGACCCCCAGGGGTACGTTGGGGTACTGCAGGGGGTACGCGGACCCCCAGGGGTACGTTGGGGTACTGCAGGGGGTACGTGAGATAAAAAAAACATGCATCATTACAAACATATTCATAGTAATATATAATATTCATCTGCACCAAAACATTGTAATACTTTGTAAGAATGTCATAGTTAATATATTTATATCATAGTATTTATTTTTATAAACCTACAGTTTAGTTAGTTTTAGTGTTACCTGTGATTTCTATCTTTCGATCTTCCAGCTGTTTCTCACTGACACCCAGCCTGAGCCCCAACTCTGAAGACAAACATAGTAAATATCTGATTTATTAATAACTCATTATCATTTGTGTTAATGAATGTAATCATTTTATTATAGCTCTACCTGTAGTGTTGGTGTAGATGTCTGTCAATCTGGAACCAATTAAGGAACGTTGAACAGACTGAACTGAAAACACACAAAACGAATCAGAAACCATGTGTTATGGCGTAAGAGCCCACAACAGAAACACAAACATGTGTACCCAGTGGCGGCGCCAGGGTATGGCTGGGGTAGGCTACCGCCATACCAAGAGATGGCTTAGCCCCACCGTAGCCCCACCTTGAAAAATGATGTTAAAGTAAGCAAAATAAAGTCCGCCAACTCGCGCAGAGTAAATTGCTGACAGCAGTTAGTGAGATTGATTTCAGTAGCCACTTGTCTGGAAATACCAAAGACTAGAAACGGTTTTGAAAACTTTTGTCACGTAGTGATCGTCTTCCCAATAAAACATCTTTGATAATGTCTTCTGGCCAATCAGAATCACGATAACGCGTGGTGTTGTTGCAGGAAGTCCCGACGGAGAATACTTTAGCGGTAGTACATCTCTATACATCGATACAACATTACGTGTTGATAGAAATCAACACGTAATGAAATAAGACCCCACGGTTTGATGATTGATAGGTGTGTGGGCTGCCTTTCATTTTGACACACAAAACAATGGGGGCTATCCACCCTTATCCACAATGTAATTCACACAGCCTCTTCCCTCTTCTCTCTGTGAGGAGCAGCAGGTTCAGCTTTCAGAACAAAGTAACACAAAACTAAAATGGCATTCATTTTTTAAATGTGTAGTAATAGATTTATTTATTTTTCTTCTCAAGAGAGTACCAGAATGTGTATTTGATGTTAGTATTTAAAAAAATCTCCTGTGGGAGAATCCCCCCAGACCCCCTGCAGGGGTTGGGTCTTCAGCATGCCTTTCACCTGTGGGGAAATTGCAGGATTGGCTCCAGGTCGCCCTTTTTATTTACTACAAGACAAATGTGCCTTTTTATTTCATACAGTTCAATTTGGATTGAGACAGGGAAATGATCTAAACCTCACGCGTGGCGTTTCACTGTCAAGGGGGCGATATAGCGTGTATGTAATTACATTGCAAATACTGACTTGAGCCCCATCACTGCATGGGTTAGCCCTACCAGAGATTACCCAACAAAAATACTCTGGCGCCGCCACTGTGTGTACCCCTCAAAACATAAAGAAGTGGGTTAAATCATTTGTACATATAAAAAGCTGATGCATAATTCAGTCAGTTAAAAAGTCAAAGAAAGGAGTTCCTCAGGGAACCTTAGTCGATCCTCTACAGCAGCGGTTCCCAACCTTTTTCAACTCAGCGCCCACTTAAGAATCAAAAAATGTTTCGCGACCCACATTCAACCATAAACAATACGGAGGCTAAATAAAGTTCTGATTGGTCAATCCAGAACATGTGACACGTTGTAAATCCAGTAGAACAGACCGCTGTCAAGGACTGTAATGACCGTTGCTAAGGACTGTAATGACCGTTGCTAAGGACTGTAATGACCGTTGCTAAGGACTGTAATGACCGTTGCTAAGGACTGTAATGACCGCTGTCAAGGACTGTAATGACCGTTGCTAAGGACTGTAATGACCCTTGCTAAGGACTGTAATGACCGTTGCTAAGGAGGATCAAGAAGGGTTCAAATTAAAAAATCTTAATAATGAAAATGTTTCCACACAAATCATAATGTTTTGCAAATTATTTGGCGGCAAATATTGAATTTACATTTACACCCTTTAATATTTCATTTGGGCTTTTAGATGAAGACCGCACACAGTTAATAAATACAACAATTCTTCTGGCTAAAATACATATTTATAAAAGTCAATCAAGGAGTAATCTTAATTTAAGATGTTTGAAGAGTAGATCAAAAATACAATTACTTTTGGAAAAAATTATTGCCACAAAAAATCAAGGGGTGGCTTTTTAAAAAAAAAATTAAAAGATTACAAATTTAAATTATTTGGCGGCCCCCTTGCAATGCCTTCGCGGACCATTACATTACATTACATTACATGACATGACACTTGTTAGACGCTTTTATCCAAAGCGACTTACATACTCAGTACTGTGGACAATCCCCACAGGAGCACTTTGGGCTGAAGTGTCTCAGGGACACAACGACATGCTGACTGCAGTGGGGTTTGAACCTGTGACCCCCTGATCCCAACACCAAGCCTCTATCCACTGCGCCACACGCCTCCCTAGGGGGCCGCGGCCCACAGGTTGGGAACCACTGTTCTACAATGTAAACACATTTAGAGTGTTACCTGTGTTTTCTGTCTTCAGATCTTCCAGCTGTTTCTCACTGACGTCCAGTCTGACCTCCAGAGCTGAAGAGGAACATCATTCATGTTTATTCAATGATTTAATAAATAATTACTCAAAAAGTTTATATTAAAGAGTTGATGATGTTACCTGCAGTTTGCTGCTCCAGCTGTGTTTCAGTGGATCTCAGTTTGACCTCCAAAGCTGCAAAATAAAATGATATATTTATAAATGACATTCGTGCATGATTAGCTGATAAGTATTACTTAAAATAAGCAAGTCAATATAACTCTACCTGTGGTGTTGTTGTGACTCTCCGTCAGACTGGAATTTATCAAGGAAAGTTGAACCGACTGAACTAAAAACACAATATCAGAACAAAGAAATGTCAACATGTTTTACACATATAGTAATACATTGAAATACATACAGATAGTTTTAAACCTTCAGTTTGACCTTTGTTTTGTGTTTTCATATGGTCCAGCTGTTCCTCACTGGCACTCAGTCTGACCTCCAGCTCTAAAGAGAAGCACAGTAAATATCCTAATCATTAATATAATAAATAACGCTTGTATTAATGAAAATAACAATGTCTGATGGATATATCGCATGTACTAAAAACATCCTTTGTTCATGCACTTTTATGTAAAAAGAAACATATTTTAAATATAGGATATATTTTATAACACATTGTCTATTTGCGACTGAAGATTTCTCCTAAATATACAAAAACTTAAATATCGCTTCATTTATATATTTAAACATAACATATTAGAAAACCTGCTGTGCAAACAATTTTTTATAGAAGTAATTAAAGGGGGGAAGTTTAATCTTGAAATTAATTAGTAATTGTTTTCACTTGCCGCTTCCCATTAATATATAATAAAATAGAATTATACATTCATATAAAACTTCAGTATGTTACCTGTCTTCAGACCTTCCAGTTGTTTCACACCGGCACCCAGTTTGACCTCTAACTCTGAAGAGAAACCAGTAACTATCTGTTAGTTTATATCATTTATGAATCCTTGATGGAAATATTGAAGTAAATCCAACTCAACCTGTAGTGTTGTTGTTGATGTCGGTCAGCCTGGACTCCATCAAGGAACATCGAAAAGACTGAACTGAAAACACAAAACGTCATAAAGGTTCCATAACATCAGCAGGAGAGGACTCTTTAAAGTAGAGACACTACATACTGATATACACCTGAACATCAGCAGGAGAGGACTCTTTAAAGTAGAGACACTACATACTGATATACACCTGAACATCAGCAGGAGAGGACTCTTTAAAGTAGAGACACTACATACTGATATACACCTGAACATCAGCAGGAGAGGACTCTTTAAAGTAGAGACACTACATACTGATATACACCTGAATATCAGCAGGAGAGGACTCTTTAAAGTAGAGACACTACATACTGATATACACCTGAACATCAGCAGGAGGGGACTCTTTAAAGTAGAGACACTACATACTGATATACACCTGAACATCAGCAGGAGAGGACTCTTTAAAGTAGAGACACTACATACTGATATACACCTGAACATCAGCAGGAGAGGACTCTTTAAAGTAGAGACACTACATACTGATATACACCTGAACATCAGCAGGAGACGACTCTTTAAAGTAGAGACACTACATACTGATATACACCTGAACATCAGCAGGAGAGGACTCTTTAAAGTAGAGACACTACATACTGATATACACCTGAACATTAGCAGGAGAGGACTCTTTAAAGTAGAGACACTACATACTGATATACACCTGAACATCAGCAGGAGAGGACTCTTTAAAGTAGAGACACTACATACTGATATACACCTGAACATCAGCAGGAGAGGACTCTTTAAAGTAGAGACACTACATACTGATATACACCTGAACATCAGCTGGAGAGGACTCTTTAAAGTAGAGACACTACATACTGATATACACCTGAACATCAGCAGGAGAGGACTCTTTAAAGTAGAGACACTACATACTGATATACACCTGAACATCAGCAGGAGAGGACTCTTTAAAAACATCAGGATGATAAAAGAGTTTCTTAGGGAAACTTTCTTGATCCTGCTAAGTTTCAGTTTGAGATCAAATTGAGTTAATAAATGACATGAGTTGAGATCAAATAAATAACATGTTACCCGTGTTTTCTGTGTTCAGATCATCCAGCTGTTTCTCAGTGACTCCCAGTCTAACCTCCAGAGCTGAACAGCAAACCATTCAAGTTTAATTTAATGGTTTGATTAGTGATTATTTAACGTTTTTATTGAAGGGTTAATGATATTACCTGCAGTTTGCTGCTCCAGTTGTGTCTCAGTGGATCTCATCCTCACATCCAGAGCTGATCAACAATCAGATGTTATTCATTTATTTATTTACTGAGTCTGGAGGTAAACTCTTCAGTAAAGTCAAGATAAGTGTTATTACAAACGGTAATGTAAATCTAACTCTACCTTTTTCACCTTCTGTTAGTCTCGACTCCATCAAGGAAAGTTGAACGGATTGACCTGAAAACACAAAATCATAAGAAACAAATATCTATCTATCTAATTATATGTTGTAATTTGTATTGCTCAATACAAGAGGTTTATACATATGTTCAGAGGTTCAGCAAATACTGTGAAGAACCCCAATATGTTTTCACAAAACCATAACGTTTCATTCTTGCTGATTAAGGAGTTCCTCAGGGAACGGTGTTGGGTCCTCTACAGTTTCAGTCTGAAGATATATATTAAACGTTTTTACCTGTGTTTTCTGTCTTCAGATCCTCCAGCTGTGTCTCACTGACACCGAGTCTGACCTGCAAAGCTGAACGCCAAACAATTCATGTTATTTTAACGATGTCATTTGATGGTGGATTATTTAATATCACAGAGTTTATTATTTTACCTGCAGTTTGCTGCTCCAATTGTGTCTCAGTGGATCCCAGTCTGACCTCCAAAGCTGATTAACAATCAGATGTTATTCATTTATATATTTACTGAGTCTGGATTTAAACTGTTCGGTAAAGTCTAGATTAGAATGATACATTTACTGTATATGAACATTTTAATATAGATGTAACTCTACCTGTAGTGTTTTTTAGACTCTCTGTCATTCTGGACTCCATCAAGGAGAGTTGAACAGATTGAACTAAAAACACAACATCAAGGCAAACAAATATAATCTTGTTAAATTATTACAATAATCAGTATCGTAATAAGTTGAATAATTAAACACTATTTAAAAAAGGACCGTCAGGATTCATTCATGCCTATAAGGCGTTCCTCAGGGAACAGAGTTGGATCCTCTACAGTTTCAGTCTGATGATATACTTAAAGATTTCTACCTGTGTTTTCTGTCTTCAGATCATCCATCTCTTTCTCATTGGCACCAAATCTGACATCTATAACTGAACAACAAACCATTCATGTTTAATTGAATAGTTTAATTAATTATTAATCAATAGTAATATTGAAGACTTAACTACTGAATGTTACCTTCATTGTGATTCTCCAGCATCTCCAGTTGTGTCTCAGTGGCTCTCACTCTGACATTTAGAGCTGATTAACAATCACATGTTATTTATTCATATATTTAAATGTTTGGATGTATAATCTTCAGTAAAGACAAGATCATATAGATAAGTGTAAATACAAATGTGAATATAAATATAACTGTACCTGTAGCGTTGTTTTGAGTTTCCGTCAGTCTCGACTCCATCAAGGAAAGTTTGACGGATTTAACTAGAAACAGAAAATCACAACAAACAAATATATATATTTTGAATGTTCCACTACTATGTATTATGATTAATAATGTAATGTTCATTGGTAATAATGGAATACTATTTAATAGCTGACTAAGAGAGGTAAATATATCAGTTCAGAGGGTTAGCAAGTTTTGTAAAGAACCCTTATATATTTGAGATTTCCAAAAGGACAATCAGGGTTCATTCTAGTTTCTAAAGGAGTTCCTCAGGGAACCATTTTGGATCCTCTACAGTTTCAGCCTGAAGATATATTGAAAGGTTTGTACCTGTGTTTTCTGTCTTCAGATCTACCAGCTGTTTCTCACTGACACTCAGTCTGACCTCCAGAGCTGAACAAAAACAATTCATGTTTAATTTAATGCTTTAATATATGATTATTTAAAGGTAATATTAATTATTTTACCCGCAGTTTGCTGCTCCAGCTGTGTCTCTGTGGATCCCAGTCTGACCTCCAGAGCTGATCAACAATCAGATGTTATTCAATTATATGTTTATTAACTGAGTCTCGTTTTATAATCTTCAGTCGAATCCAGATCAGAAACATAATTGTAAATACAATTGTTATTATAAATCTAACTCTACCTGTAGTGTTGTTTTGAGTTTCTGTCAGGCTGGACTCCATCAAGGAAAGTTGAACAGATTGAACTAAAAGACACAACATCAGAACAAACAAATATCATCTTTAAACATTTCACAATAATATAGTTTCAATCTGAATATGTTTATTTAGAGGTTTCTACCTGTGTTTTCTGTGTTCAGATCTTCCAGCTGTTTCTCACTGGCACTCAGTCTGACCTCTAACGCTAAAGAAAAAACAGAAAATATCAGATTAATTCCTAACTAATTACCACTTGTGTTAATGCACATTATAAAGTAAATATATGTCTACCTGTAGTGTTGTTGTTGTCAACTAGTCTCACGCCCATCAAGGAAAGTTGAACAGACTGAACTAAAAACACAAAATAAATTGGACAAAAACAACAATACTCGTTAGGTTCAATGGAAATGCCATAGTTACACAAGACAACACATAACCAAAGCATAAAAGAATATGTTCATTAATATATTAAGATTTGTACCTGTGTCTTCTGCTTTCAGATCTTCCAGCTGTTTCTCACTCTTACTCAGTCTTACCTCCAACTCTAAAAAACATCATAAATATCTGATTTAATTATAACAAACACAGACTTCTGTTGGTGAAAATATTAAAGTAAATATATATGTTACCTGTAGTGTCATTGCTGTCTATAAGTTTTGACTCCATCAAGGAAAGTTGAATAGAACGGACTAAAAACACAAAATAAATCAGACATAAAATACATTATTTTGTATTTGTTTTATTGCAATTGTTTGGAAATATTGTAGATACACATGTAACACGCCACTGCTGCAGCACTAAGGTGTACTTTAAGAATTAAATGTGTGTTTATTCATTTGTTGTTTGTTAAAAATAGGTGAAGCACATATTTCATACCAAAAAAATCAATAAGGATGATTAAGGAGTTCCTCAGGGAACCTTACTAGATCCTCTGGGGTTTCGGTTTGAGGTAGCACTACATGCACAGTTTGAGCTCAAATAAAGTACTTCCAGTTTGAGGCACTTTATTCAGATAACATATATTGATTTATAGTTAGTTGAAACATTTAGAGTGTTACCTGTGTTTTCCGTCTTCAGATCTTCCAGCTGTTTCTCACCGGCACTCAGTCTGACCTCTAACGCTAAAGAGAAAACAGTACATTTCAGATTAATTAATAAATAATGACCACATGTGTTGATGAACATAATAGAGTAGATATATGTGTACCTGTAGTGTTGCAGTCTTTCAGTTTGGACTCCATCATGGAAAGTTGAACAGATTGAACTAAAAACACATATTAGATTGGACAAAAACAACACTACTCGTTAAGTTCTATGGAAAAGCCGTAGTAAGTAAACAAAGCATAACATAATATTTACCTCAAAATATAAAGGTTTTTACCTGTGTTTTCTGTCTTCAGATCTTCCAGTTGTTTCTCACTGACACCCAGTCTCACCTCCAACTCTGAAAGAAGTGAGTCAGCAAGTTCTGTAATATCTTACTACCAAAAAACCACAACTCAACTCAATACTTCTGAACTAATTAATTGACAAACTGATTAACTGATTGTTGATTGACGAACAGATGGATGATATACCTGCGTTCATTTTGTCCAGCTGACTCTCAGTCATATTCTGTTTTCTCTGCAGATTCATCACTTCCAAGGTTTGATCTGAAACATGAACTAAACTGAACTGAACTGCAGTAAAACTATGTTTGGGTTTAGCTGTGTACTTTAGTGTGTATTTCATTCATCATTTCGTAAATGATCAGTTACCTGTCCTATCAGTCTGCTTTACTTGACTCTCAGCAGAGTTCAGTCTGACCTGCAGCTGTTTAACGTTATCAGCCTGAACTGAAAACAAGAGAGGAAACACAGGAAGTGGCATCACCTATCAAAACCTGCTGCATCTCTTTTTGAAAGAGCCTGCTTCACCTTTCATCAAATGGCATATGAGAATGTATTGCAAGCATTCTTGTTTGGGTAAAAATACTCCATTTACAAGTAAAATCCTGCACTTAAAGTCCATTTTGCTGACAATTCTCATGTACTTTCCAGTGCCAAAAGAAACATTTAGCTGAAAAGACTTACATACGTTCTGTGCCGTAGTGTTTCTCACCTGTGTTTTGTGTCTTGAGTTCCTCCAGGTGTCTCTCTACAGACTGCAGTCCACTGGTATGATCTGAAACAATATTCAAAAGAATATTAATGGCATTTGCTGACTGATAGAGTAAATTAAAGATTGTATGTGACCCACCTGCAGAGTTTCTCTTCAGCTCATCCAGGTGAAGGCGGCTGGAGTTTAGTCTGCTGCTGATCTCTGACACTTGATCTGAAATAAATTAACAATCACGATCATATAACACTAAAGTAACTCAGAGACAAGTGGTCTGACGGTAACACAGACTTTCCTCTTGATTAGGTGATTTTCAATACTAAGAATGGTTTAGAATAAATAAACAAACTATTGATTGTGTGAATATACAAATAATTTAGTAGGTGAGTAAATTAGATCAGATGAAAGATTCATTGATAAATATTTGGCGTAGGTATACATTATGAAACATGTAATAAATGGCGGGATGTTTGGTGATAAAGACCTCGTATGAAGCTGATCTCGCTTCTCTCTGCAGATGAATTCAGTTTTTTCTCCAGTGAGTTCAGTCGGCCCTGCAGAGCTGCAACAACACACGGAAATCACAAAAACACATTTTTATTTCCAAATGATTTGCTTTAAGTCTTATGTTGTCTTACATAATTGTGCATTACGTTTAAACAAAAGTTATTTTATTGACATATTTTTTGTTTTTGTCTTGATTTGTATATTTGGTATTGAGGTCAAATCAACAGAGAGACACACAACTTTAGTTATAATATTTGGATTACGTTACTGAATGCATTTTCTAACAGATAATCGCCGTACATATTTTAATGAACTCTTCCAACCCCAATGTACTTATACTGAAAGCTACATTGACGATTATTGATTATTTTGTATTAATGGATCAAGTTATCTCACCTCGTGTTTTCGTTTTCAGCTCCTCCATCTCAGCTGATCCGTTGCAAGATGCGACTGCTCGGAAATAAAAATGATAAAAGTTTGTTTAACATTATAACTTTAAACTCTTTTCAGTGTTTATTTTCCACGTATGACATTCATAATATTATGTTGAAGTATTTGACCTTTGGGACATTTTTGTGATTAGGTTAGTTCAGCAGTTAAATCCATAGCACTCCTTTAAAGTGAGATTATGAACGCCACAATAAGGACTACATTTCCTACAATTACACATGTTAGAGAATAGCCTCTAATAATTAATGGTTTAACAGATAATTAAGTAGCTGTAAGAAGATTTAATGACAGGGTTTGTATGAGATCTGGTTACAAAAGCATTGTAGTTACAATATAGTTAATACATGTTTTTACATGGATTATTAATGATCATAAATTAGCTTAAAATAAAGAGTTTCTACAGCGAGGAAAAGAGAGATGAATCTGACCTGAAGTCTGTCTGATCAGCTCCTTTATCACACTCTCAGTCTTACACAGTCTGACTGCGATCTCTGAAAACACCACAAACTAGACGTCACTCCAGAAATATCCTTCAAGTTCATTTTTGAGAGTGTGAATTTGAAAAGCTTTAAATCTTTGTCAGATTAACTGAATCTATCATTACTGCAATGGACAGAAGCTCTCATTTTATATATTTGAATTGTATTTGTATCCATGATCTATTTTGTGCCAGGATGATATGCAAACGTTTTTCCCCCATCTCTAAAACTGATTTAAAGACGTTTCAACATTAACCTTTAATTACCACTCCAGGCCACAGGCCTACACTTTCTCTCTTCTGAGTGGTGCAGGAATGAGTCAAAACATTCGGAATAAGTTGGCATTTTACCATTTCCCTCGACTAAACGTCATCACGCTGAACATTAGCCACCTTTAGCTTAGCGGTGGTGACGTGAAGTCATGTGACCGTGCTGTAGTTCCTTTATAGCCCAACATTAGCCGCCTTTAGCTTAGCGGTGGTGACGTGAAGTCATGTGACCGTGCTGTAGTTCCTTTATAGCCCAACATTAGCCGCCTTTAGCTTAGCGGTGGTGACGTGAAGTCATGTGACCGTGCTGTAGTTCCTTTATAGCCCAACATTAGCCACCTTTAGCTTAGCGGTGGTGACGTGAAGTCATGTGACCGTGCTGTAGTTCCTTTATAGCCCAACATTAGCCACCTTTAGCTTAGCGGTGGTGACGTGAAGTCATGTGACCGTGCTGTAGTTCCTTTATAGCCCAACATTAGCCACCTTTAGCTTAGCGGTGGAGATGTGAAGTCATGTGACCGTGCTGTAGTTCCTTTATAGCCCAACATTAGCCTCCTTTAGCTTAGCGGTGGTGACCTGAAGTCATGTGACCGTGCTGTAGTTCCTTTATAGCCCAACATTAGCCACCTTTAGCTTAGCGGTGGTGACGTGAAGTCATGTGACCGTGCTGTAGTTCCTTTATAGCCCAACATTAGCCGCCTTTAGCTTAGCGGTGGTGATGTGAAGTCATGTGACCGTGCTGTAGTTCCTCTATAGCCCAACATTAGCCACCTTTAGCTTAGCGGTGATGACGTGAAGTCATGTGACCGTGCTGTAGTTTATTTATAGCCCAACATTAGCCACCTTTAGCTTAGCGGTGATGACGTGAAGTCATGTGACCGTGCTGTAGTTTCTTTTCTTGTTTGAAACAGATCTTATTTACAAAAATACATCATCACTGCACCACTCTATTGGTTGTCAGAAATCAGGTCCCACAGTCTGATAACAATAACATTAAATGTGATGATGATGATGATGATGATGACCTGTGTTCCTCCTCCTCAGCTGTTCCACGGTGCTCTCACTCGCCCTCAGTCTCGTCTGCAGGAACGGCAGCTCCCCTGCCAGAGCTGTGGAGACAACGGAAAGATAGTTTTGCTTTAAAAAATGTTTATTTATATATAAAATAATTGGTCGAAACATGAGTTGTTTCACCTGAATTTTTCTTCTTCAGGTCGTCCACTAAGCTCTCGCTCGTGTCCAGTCTGAACTCAAGAGATGAAACCTTGATGGCTTGAACTAAAAGATCCAAACAGGTGATGAACATGGTAAACATTTGACCTTCTGAAACTTAGCATGCTGAGAGCAAATAGAAAAGCCACAACATCTTATCAAACAACAACATTTAAGGTTCCTCCAAAGACTTCACCACAATACAAAATGTATAATTGCTAATCTAGTGTCTCAAGGTCATTTTATTTAGACAGGTTTCTTGATAACATATGAACCCTTTACCTACCTCTGCTCTGCTCCTCCAGCTCCTCCAGCTTCCTCTTCAGATCTAAGCAGTAAGAGAAGAGAGGAACTGAATGTTAGAAACATTTCAGAGTCTTTTAAAGATGAAAATGTTGAAAATGTGAAATCAGTTTCTCACCTAAATGTTTCTTCGTCACGTCGTCCTCACTCGTGATCAGTCTGAACTCAAGCGATGAAACTTTGACGGCTTGAACTACAAGACCAACACAACAAAGAGTCAAGAACAAGCAGAAACACATCATTTGAAAATCATTAGTCTGATCATAGTTACTGTGATTGATTGATTGATTGAAAAGTTTATTAACAGCTTGTATATTGGGTACAGTACAGTACAGCTCAAAACATACAATTGTTAAGGGGATGCAGACCAGAGAAAGACTTTCGTCTTGTTTACATCAGGGTCCCCCATTTCCAATTCATCATATCATTTAAGACATATAAGACATATTTGACATACAGATGGCTTATTTACAATTTACATACAGGTGGTTTTTTTACATACAGATGGCTTATTTACAATTTTCATTTTAGATTTCGTTCTAATACATCCTAACCGGACATTTAAGACATACCAAGTCTACAGATATACAGTTAGTAACAGAGTCTAAAATGCGAGTATATACATAGATGGGGGGGGGAAGCTGTCCATTGTACGACAGGTTGAGATTTGTACCATTACCGGGGCCAGTTTTGCAATGCTTTCCCCCGAAGGTGCTCTTTAAGAGAGGTTTTGAAGGTAAGTATAGTTTTACTTTCCTTTACTGTTGTGGGAAGAGCGTTCCACCTTGATGTGGCATAATTGCGAAACGTGTATTCCCCTTTTTTTGTGCCAAATCTGGGTTTTACATGATTTGTGGAGCTCCCTCTGGTGTTATGATCATGGTATTCCTTGACCTTTGGGAAGAATTTTGACATGTACATGGGTACCATAGAGGTGTAGTGGATCTTGTAGACCAGGCCCATTGCAAGTAGCTGTACTCTGTCGTCTACTCTAAGCCATCCTAGGTTGTCAAAGTGGGCAGAGGTGAGGTGGGTTCTAGATGAAAGGTCAAGCAGTAGTCTGACCAGTTTATTTTGCGATGTTTGAAGTTTTATTTTTAGCGCCTTGGAGGTGCTATGGTACCATGACGTGCAAGCATAGTCATAGTACCCTTGAATGAGTGCTCCTGCCAGAGTTTTCAGGGTGTTTTTGTTTACCAGAGAGGAGATCCGGTATAGGAATCTAGTTCTTTGATTGACTTTTTTTATTACATTGGATGCCATTTTGTCACAGGAGAGGTTTGCCTCAAGAATAGATCCTAGGTATGTAATTTCCTTCTTACTTGTGACAATAATGTCACCCACTGCAACTGAGAAGTCGTCGGATTTGCTGAGATTATGTTTCGAACCGAAGAGAATGGACTCTGTTTTACCCAGGTGTAATGATAATTTATTATCGGCGAGCCAGGTGCAGATTCTGCCGAGCTCGGAGCTGAGGGTTTTTTCAACCTGCAATCTGCTCCTGTCAGAGACCAGCAGGGCTGAGTCGTCCGCGAACAGGAACAAGTTGCAGTCACATGCTGATGACATGTCATTTGCATAAATTAGGAACAGTAACGGACCTAATATGCTTCCTTGTGGAACACCACAGCTCACTGGGAGGGGGGGGGGACAGAGTACCGTTTACCTCCACCATCTGTTCTCTCCCCTCCAGGTAGGATTGCATCCAGCTCACCGATAGTTTATCAAAACCAATTGCTTTTAGCTTGTCAATCAGAATGGGGTGATTGACAGTGTCGAAAGCCTTTTGTAGGTCCAGCATCACCATGCCGCAGTATTTACCCTCGTCCACCTCTTGTTTGATGTGGTCGTTCAAATAAAGAAGGCATGTGTCAGTGGAGTGGGATGTTCTAAAGCCAGATTGAAATTCATAGATTAGTTTCTTTTCTGCGAGGTACTTTTCGACCTGTTCATATACTATTGTTTCCATGACTTTCGAGATGGAGGTAAGTATAGAAACAGGGCGGTAGTTGCCTGGGTCCAATTTGCTGCCCTTTTTGTGCAGGGGGGTTACTCTTGCAATTTTGAAGTCTTTGGGTACTTTTCCCTGTTTTATGGAGAGGTTAATTATGTGAGCTATGACTGGTGAGATGGCGGTTGCTGTGTCTCTGAGGAATTTGGAGGGGATATTGTCGTGGCCAGTGGCCTTGTTAGGTTTGAGGGCGCTCAGTTTAATGAGTACCTCTGCTGTTGTTACCCTTGCTAGACTGAAGCATTAGTCTCATCATAGTTACTGTAAGCATTAGTCTGATCATAGTTACTGTAAGCATTAGTCTGATCATAGTTACTGTAAGCATTAGTCTGATCATAGTTACTGTAAGCATTAGTCTGATCATAGTTACTGTAAGCATTAGTCTGATCATAGTTACTGTAAGCATTAGTCTGATCATAGTTACTGTAAGCATTAGTCTCATAGTTACTGTAAGCATTAGTCTGATCATAGTTACTGTAAGCATTAGTCTGATCATAGTTACTGTAAGCATTAGTCTGATCATAGTTACTGTAAGCATTAGTCTCATAGTTACTGTAAGCATTAGTCTGATCATAGTTACTGTAAGCATTAGTCTGATAGTTACTGTAAGCATTAGTCTTATCATAGTTACTGTAAGCATTAGTCTGATAGTTACTGTAAGCATTAGTCTGATCATAGTTACTGTAAGCATTAGTCTGATAGTTACTGTAAGCATTAGTCTTATCATAGTTACTGTAAGCATTAGTCTGATAGTTACTGTAAGCACTAGTCTCATCATAGTTACTGTAAGCATTAGTCTGATAGTTACTGTAAGCATTAGTCTCATCATAGTTACTGTAAGCATTAGTCTCATCATAGTTACTGTAAGCATTAGTCTGATAGTTACTGTAAGCATTAGTCTCATCATAGTTACTGTAAGCATTAGTCTCATCATAGTTACTGTAAGCATTAGTCTGATCATAGTTACTGTAAGCATTAGTCTGATCATAGTTACTGTAAGCACTAGTCTGATCATAGTTACTGTAAGCATTAGTCTCATCATAGTTACTGTAAGCATTAGTCTGATCATAGTTACTGTAAGCATTAGTCTGATCATAGTTACTGTAAGCATTAGTCTGATCATAGTTACTGTAAGCATTAGTCTGATCATAGTTACTGTAAGCATTAGTCTGATCATAGTTACTGTAAGCATTAGTCTCATCATAGTTACTGTAAGCATTAGTCTCATCATAGTTACTGTAAGCATTAGTCTGATCATAGTTACTGTAAGCATTAGTCTTATAGTTACTCTAAGCATTAGAAAACAATTATATTTTAGATTTAGAACAATTTAAGCTAACACTGACACTGACACTAACATTTAAGGATCTTTCAAAGAGTCCATTCTGAGAGAATAAAGTCAAATCTTTCATTGATAACTTATAAGTCATATTTATTCATACAGGTTGTTCATAACACATCCAGCCTTTAGCTAACCCCTAACATTAAAAGGACTTTACAAACTCAACAACATGTTAGGAAACAAGCGACAACATCAAAGCAACACAACAACGTTCTTCGTAAACCCATTTCTGGAAACAACTTCTCAGAAAAAGCGACTAATATAGTTTAGGAAACAACATTTTAGAAAACACAACAACATTTAAGGTTTTCTCAAACACTTAAAGACAAAGTTCTTTTTATATTCGCAAATGTATTCGGCTAAAGTTTATATCATTTAAAATGTTGTTGTTATTAGTTTTGTCGTTTTCTCTGAGAAGTTGTTTCCTGAAATGGGTTTCTGAAAACGTAGTTGTGTTACATTTGATTTAGTTGAGTTTGTAAAGTTTATATTATTGAAATCAGTTTTTTAAGTCACATATTTAACCGACCCTGGTTCTGCTCCTCCCCCTTCCTCCTCAGCTCCTCCCCCTTCCTCCTCAGCTCCTCCCCTTCCTCCTCAGCTCCTCCCCCTTCCTCCTCAGCTCCTCCCCCTTCCTCCTCAGCTCCTCCCCCTTCCTCCTCAGCTCCTCCACTGAGCTCTCACTCGCCCTCAGTCTCCTCTGTGGAGACAACAGCAAGTTAGTTCTGCTTCAAAGAAACACAAACAATATGAAGTCTTCTAAATGTTCATTAATATGAGTTTTCTGGAATAAAGAATGCAAAACCTTTTCTTTGGAAGTAGTGGAAGTCATTTGGAGCGTTATTCCAAAAGCATTTGATGTTCTGATATCAGAGTTAGAGCAGAACATGTGAGTCAGTTTCTCACCTGAATATCTCTCCTTCAGGTCGTCCACTGAGTTTCCGCTCGCGTTCAGTCTCAACTGAAACCAGGAAAACTCCACAGCTCGAACTAAAACATCAAAACACAACAAAGGTACAAACACTAGCAGCAACACAAACTGTAATGTCCGACCTGAGACGGAGAGAATCACAAACATTATTCCTGTTAAACATCAACCTGAACACCAATATTTTAGCTAAAGTAACAGCACTAATTCATGCAATAACATTGTTGGTGAAGCAACACCATTGTGAGGAACTATTGCTTTTTAGGAAACAATGATATTTTATAAAACACAGCAATATTTAAATGAAGCAAACATATTTAGTGGGGAAAACAACATTTGAGGAAAACATGACTACATATTAGACGACAGTTACATTTCAGACCAGAAACATTTCAGGAAATTCAATTGTTAAAAACGTTTATTTAAGGAAATCTAAAAATACTTTTCAATGCTCTTTTAAAGACTTAATTATCATAGAATAAAGTCTAAAAATGGAGGCTTAAAATATATTTTATTCATATGATTTTTTCTGAAAACATATAAACCCGAATCAGAATCAGGTTATCTGCCAAGTAGTTTCACACAAAAGGAATTTCCAAAAAACAAGAGGTCTAATCTTCTGTTTACATGGTGTGAATAAAATAAGTGTATTTATTGAAGGTTTTAGTTTGTTGTGTCTGTGAGTTTCCCGAACGACTTAAAGGTCCCTATCATCCTCCTCTTCATCAATATATTACAGGTCTCAGATATATCCAGAGCCTGTCTCTGATTGGCTGAAACACCAAACAGATCATTGCAGCATTACCCATAATCCCCTCTGTTTCAGCCCTGTTTCCAAAGTGCTGATTCTCTGTCTGTTACTTTAGATGAAAATAAGGAGCCCCTCTGAGGAGCCCCTCTCCACGCCCCTCTGAGGAGCCCCTCCCCACGCCCCTCTGAGGAGCCCCTCCCCACGCCCCTCTGAGGAGCCCCTCCCCACGCCCCTCTGAGGAGCCCCTCCCCACGCCCCTCTGAGGAGCCCCTCCCCACGCCCCTCTGAGGAGCCCCTCCCCACGCCCCTCTGAGGAGCCCCTCCCCACGCCCCTCTGAGGAGCCCCTCCCCACGCCCCTCTGAGGAGCCCCTCCCCACGCCCCTCTGAGGAGCCCCTCCCCACGGACACAATAGGTGACTTTAAAGGAATAGTTTCTCTTTCTCTTCTTACCTTTGTTCTGCTCCTCCAGCTCCTCCACCTTCCTCCTCAGATCTGAGTTCAGCTCCGTGAGCAGCTTCCTGTCAGCCTCCATCTTCTCCTCCACCCTCCTCACCTCCTCCATCTTCTCCTCCACCCTCCTCATCTCCTCCATCTTCTCCTCCATCTTCTCCTCCACCCTCCTCATCTCCTCCATCTTCTCCTCCATCTTCTCCTCCATCTTCTCCTCCACCCTCCTCACCTCCTCCATCTTCTCCTCCACCCTCCTCATCTCCTCCATCTTCTCCTCCATCTTCTCCTCCACCCTCCTCACCTCCTCCATCTTCTCCTCCACCCTCCTCACCTCCTCCATCTTCTCCGCCATCTTCTCCTCCACCCTCCTCACCTCCTCTATCTTCTCCTCCATCTTCTCCTCCATCCTCCTCACCTCCTCCCTCCTCTCCTCGGCCTCCAGCCCTCCGTCCCTCAGACGGCTCTCCATGCTCCTCAGCTCTAAACGCTGCAACACCGCCACTGACTTCAGGCTGAGAACCAGCTCCTTCAATCCCAGCAGCTCATCCCAGAGGACGGGGATCTCTGAGGAGACGTCCTCCAGCTTGACGTCCTCCATCCTGACTTCCTCCATCTTGACGTCCTCCATCCTGACGTCCTCCATCCTGACTTCCTCCATCCTGACTTCCTCCATCCTGACGTCTTCCTCCTGGGGGGAAGACGCCTCCTGGGGGGAAGACGCCTCCTGCGGGGAAGACGCCTCCTGGGGGGAAGACGCCTCCTGGGGGGAAGACGCCTCCTGCGGGGAAGACGCCTCCTGGGGGGAAGACGCCTCCTGGGGGGAAGACGCCTCCTGCGGGGAAGACGCCTCCTGGGGGGAAGACGCCTCCTGGGGGGAAGACGCCTCCTGCGGGGAAGACGCCTCCTGGGGGGAAGACGCCTCCTGGGGGGAAGACGCCTCCTGGGGGGAAGACGCCTCCTGGGGGGAAGACGCCTCCTGGGGGGAAGACGCCTCCTGCGGGGAAGACGCCTCCTGGGGGGAAGACGCCTCCTGGGGGGAAGACGCCTCCTGCGGGGAAGACGCCTCCTGGGGGGAAGACGCCTCCTGCGGGGAAGACGCCTCCGTCTGTCCCCGACTGAAGGCTGGAGACAAACAGAAAAGCAGCAAAAACAGAAACAACTTCATCCTGAAAACAAATCCTGCTACTGAGAGAGTCCAACAGCTTATATATATATACACACACACACACACACACACACACACACACACACACACACACACACACACACACACACACACACACACACACACACACACACACACACACACACACACACACACACACACACACACACACACACACACACACACACACACACACACACACACACACACACACACACACACACACACACACACACACACACACACTAATCTGGGTGAACACCCTAAGCATTACTTGAATCATACTACAAGACTTTCCGTATTTTCTAAATAAAAGCTCGTGCTACATTTCCAGTCATTTAATTCAAGAATGAAAGATATTAGCAGTTTACTTAAGGACTTATGTCAGAGTGTATTCATGTGTAAAAAGCTCCTAAGAAATGTGACAAAAGGGATTTTTCTCTTGTATTAAAAGATATGGAGAAAGAAAATGAAAGTTTTGATTAAAAGTCCGAATTTTGAGGAAGTCAGAATTCAGAAACAAAATGTCTGAGAAAAAGTAAGAACTCTAAATTAAACCAAAATGTAAAATCTTGAGAAAAAATATCTGAGAAAAATTCAACATTCTGAGATAGTTTTATATTTTAAACGTGTTTACCGCCAACGAGCCCTGACGTTTTTTTGTTGTTGAGAGTTTTCCGTAGTGTGTCAGTGTGAATAGTCAGTTAGTCACTATGACATCAATACACAGATATAGTTTGTTATATCTACTGTGTGTGGGCTAAGGTCAAGAAAGGGTACAGAGACCAAAGAGTGCTTTGTTCCACTTTAAGTCAAAGGATTAGCGTCAGTTCACGGGTCTGACGGGAATATAAATATGCACGAGTGCAGTGGTGTAGTGGTCGTTGGACGCGGGGGATCGCCCTCCCCCCACTTACTTGGAGCCCCCACTCTTTTGAAGCATGATTTTTTGGGAATATTCTCATAAATATAAAATCATTGCCAGTGTTATCAGTTGCAAGTGTGTATTTGAAAACATAATACATTTCACAGTAATTACAATAAAAACGTAGCTCAAGTATTTATGCAACTTGATTTGTAGCGTGTGTGTGTGTGTGTGTGTGTGTGTGTGTGTGTGTGTGTGTGTGTGTGTGAGGGGCAGCACCGTGTGTGTGTGGGTGTGTGTGTGTGAGGGGCACACACAGCGTTTTTATCATTTGTCCCGCGTCCCACAAATTGAGACTATGTCCCGCATTTGAGTGATGGTCGCGCAGAAAGGCCGGCTCGGTTCGCTGACGGCCGGTGTTGTGTCAAATGATGCACCCCTTGACACGGGAACGCGCATTTGAACGTATAGTCCGCTATTCTATGTTGTCTTTTTGGTGGTTGGATTTTGCATTCACTCGTCTCTTCTTTTTCAGTGAATTATTTATTTAATATATGTTTTTATTTAATTGTGACGTCCTGTCTGTGTACTTGTGCTTTACAATGTATTGTTTATTTTGACATCAAGTGCTTGAGGGTGGGATTAATAGAAACATTTTTATTTTGGGGGGTGCTTTTTATGAACAGCCTGGTTGCCACGATATGCACCCCTTGCTATCTCTGACAATAAACGTGTCACATACATGAAACTTGCTCCATTTATTGGCACTAGTCCTACAACTATACCCAAAGTGCTTGAGGGTGGGATTAATAGAAGCATCTTTTTTGGGGGGGTGCTTTTTACGGCAGGCCAGGGGGTGCATTTCACGACGGGGGTGCATCATGTGACACAACACCGGCACCGCCCTTTATTATTATCTTTTTTAAACGGCATCATGTAAATTGCGCTGACAGGCGACAGAGGTCCACAGTGTACCCCCCCCCCCGTTGACAGTTCACGAGCGCGTCCATAGTGTCTCCCCCCCCCCCGTTAACAGTTCACGAGCGCGTCCATAGTGTCTCCCCCCCCCCCCCCGTTGACAGTTCACGAGCGCGTCCATAGTGTCTCCCCCCCGCCCCCCAGTATACCAATCCGCACCACACCACTGCACGAGTGAATTGAAACACGTATATCATTGGAAACCCTATTCACTGATTGATACACAGGTTATAAAATGGAACCAAATCAACTCAAACATCGATATTGGCTCCAGCAGTGATCCTTGATCAAAGTCTTTACCCTCTTTCCCTATAGTTTGTTTCTCCAGTGGGATCAGTTTCTGCTGCATACCTAACATTGCTAACACGCTAATCTGCAGCTCAAAGGCCTCGCAGCTCAGAGACTAAACTGTCACGTGCACAATCACGGGCTATTGTGTGTAAAGATAAATGTAATCTGGGTCACCGTGTTGTTTCTCGCTCTGTTAGAAAACACAGGTGTAAAAACTGTATTTAAATCAAATGTATTCTCACTTCTTATAATACAATATTAGTATTTACTTCTTAATATCATTTCCTTGTTCCCTCTATTTATCTTTTATTATTTTCTGTGTAAATGTACTTTATAGTAACATGTCTATATAATACTTTGTACTTTAGTTTTCCTTCAAGCCAGTTTTCTAGTTTATTCTAAAGTCTTTTATTTCTGCTGCTTTCTTTTTTCTGCACTTATAAATATTCTGGATTATGAAGCACTTTCTTAACCTCAAAGTAAACCTGTCTATAGCAGGGGTGTCCAAACTACGGCCCGGGGGCCAAATGCAGCCCGTGGACCATTTTGAATCGGCCCTCAGCAAGTTCAAAAAGTATAATGTAATACGGCCCACAGATGAAACTTGTATTCTTATATTGTACTTCTTAAATATGAATGTAAACATATATCACACAGTAGTATTCATGTGTTAATAAGACCACTTTTCAAATAAATTCAGTCAATTCAAGTTGGAAACATTTTCTAACCAATCTTTGTTGATAAGAAAAAAGCCTAATTACTTATTTACAACAATCTTGAAATAAACCCTTCCTATTTCTCCTTATGATAATCACTCTTCTGTTGTAAGGGATGAGCTGTTAACACTCACGAGCATCATGTCCCTACATCTGATTGATTTAGCTAACTTAGAACTGAACTTATGAGGCGATACACCTCTAGTGAGCGGCCCAGCCCTTCGTGTGGCCCTCGGAGAAATAAGTTTGGACCCCCCTGCTCTAGAGCCAGGGGGTGTTTCTCAATGTCGAGTAAAGCTGCTCCAGAGCCACTATTTCAAGCATACTACGTCATCGAGTGCCGCCGAAGTACTGTTCCAATCTCCAGTATACTTGGAAATCTACCGAGCCCGGCGTACTCCGTTTGGAGAAATATCGAGTCTGCACATGAGTAGACTCCGCGGTCTTAAAATCCCCACAATGCTTTGCGCACGGACCAATTTCCCCAAATCTGTGGCGAAGATGTAAGAGGCGGGGCCTCTCATATGACGCACACCTGCACACTTGCTAGCCTGTTCCACTCTTCGTTTTCCAAATGCCAGGAAGTATTCTTGACTCGCTTCTGAAGCAAGATGCTCGGCAGACATGTGCTACCAAGCAAGCGTACTCCACATTGAGAAACACCCTGTGTGTCCTGGTAAGGTTTGGACCCCCCTGCTCTAGAGCCGGTGTGTCCTGGTAAGGTTTGGACCCCCCTGCTCTAGAGCCGGTGTGTCCTGGTAAGGTTTGGACCCCCCTGCTCTAGAGCCGGTGTGTCCTGGTAAGGTTTGGACCCCCCTGCTCTAGAGCCGGTGTGTCCTGGTAAGGTTTGGTACATGTGAACCGATGGATGATGCTGGGGACCAATCATAGATCTGGAAATGCATATGATGCATAAATGAAAAAGAAAGTCAGCTGCACGAATGACAAACCTTGAGCTTTTTGCTCCACAGATGGATCTTCATGTTTCACAGATGGATAGATAGATGGATCTTCATGTTGATAGATGGATCTTCATGTTGATAGATGGATCTTCATGTTTCACAGATGGATAGATAGATGGATCTTCATGTTGATAGATGGATCTTCATGTTGATAGATGGATCTTCATGTAGATGGATAGATAGATGGATCTTCATGTTGATGGATCTTCATGTTGATGGATCTTCATGTTGATGGATAGATAGATGGATCTTCATGTTGATGGATAGATAGATGGATCTTCATGTTGATGGATCTTCATGTTGATAGATGGATCTTCATGTTGATGGATCTTCATGTAGATGGATAGATAGATGGATCTTCATGTTGATGGATCTTCATGTTTCACAGATGGATAGATAGATGGATCTTCATGTTGATAGATCTTCATGTTGATAGATAGATAGATGGATCTTCATGTTGATGGATCTTCATGTTGATGGATAGATAGATGGATCTTCATGTTGATGGATCTTCATGTTTCACCGACACACCCACATCCAACATGATCAAAAATAAAAAAGCATAAATAAATATATCGTATCATTTAGCAAAACAGGATTTTATTAAAAAACTTTTCACACAGAGAAACTTTAATCACACTTTTGTTCCTTCAGCAGGAAAAATAAAGTTCTTCTTCTGCTTCAAAGAAACATGGACACTCCCCCGACGTGTCTCCATCTTCTTTAGTCGCACAGAATACATCCCATAGTCTGACGTTTACATTCATTCATCGTTTCCTCCTCTCGGCGTCACTTTGAGATCCTCATGATGCTCCTTTAAAACAGTTTGAAACCAGAGTCAGTCCGGTTTCTGATTGGCTGTCCAGAGTGAACGGCGTCCATGAGACGGCTTCTGATTGGCTGTCCAGAGTGAACGGCGTCCATGAGACGGTAAACACTAATGGTTTGTTAGGGGTTCAGTTCGTCAGCTCCCGTCATCACGCAGACAGATAAAACCCCAAAAAAGATATTTTCAAAAGATGTCAAACTCAAAGCAGAGAGATTCCCTTTGTGGTGACGGACAGCGAGGCTGCAGGCCGACGAGAGGACATTTACATTTTAATGAATAATCAGTAAACAAACGTGTAATTAATGGTTTCTAACTTTGAGAGACGGACATTTAGAGAGTAATACTATGTGAGCCCTACAGAGACCTCTTGTATTGATTATCTGCCGCTACATTCTCACATGATTGTAATATTTACATTCATGTTGATCAAATATATTTCGGCCGTAGCGATCTCGAGATCTCTAGATCTAGAGATCTCTAGATCTCTAGATCTAGAGATCTCTAGATCTAGAGATCTAGAGATCTCTAGATCTCTAGATCTAGAGATCTCTAGATCTCTAGAGATCTCTAGATCTCTAGATCTCGAGATCGCTACGGCTCTAGAGATCTCTAGATCTAGAGATCTAGAGATCTCTAGATCTAGAGATCTCTAGAGATCTCTAGATCTCTAGATCTTTAGATCTAGATCTCTAGATCTAGAGATCTTTAGATCTAGATCTCTAGATCTCTAGATCTCTAGATCTAGAGATCTAGAGATCTCTAGATACTCTAGATACTCTAGATACTCTCTAGATACTCTCTAGATCTCTAGATCTCGAGATCGCTACGGCTCTAGAGATCTCTAGATCTAGAGATCTAGAGATCTCTAGATCTAGAGATCTCTAGAGATCTCTAGAGATCTCTAGAGATCTCTAGATCTCTAGATCTTTAGATCTAGATCTCTAGATCTAGAGATCTTTAGATCTAGATCTCTAGATCTCTAGATCTCTAGATCTAGAGATCTAGATCTAGAGATCTAGATCTAGAGATCTCTAGATCTCTAGATCTAGAGATCTAGATCTAGATCTCTAGATCTAGAGATCTCTAGATCTCTAGATCTAGAGATCTAGATCTAGAGATCTCTAGATCTAGATCTAGAGATCTAGTTTTAGTCGGTCAAGAGTTCGACTCATTTGATCCACTTTTCTTGGTGTTCTGAGTTTGAATCTTTGTGGTTTGTTGCACTTATTGTGAGTCCCTTTGGAGTCAAGTGTGCTTACTTTAACGTAGTTCATAACAAATGCAGAATGCACTTCAATCGGCTTGAGATGCATACAAGTGTGTTTTTAACCCATTCATTACATGTTTTTATACACATTAGAAAAGGGAATTAAAGAATAGTGAAGCAGTACGTTTCACACTTTACTGTGTGTGTATTTTGCAGCTCGTAAAATACACAAAATGATAAAAATGTAATCAGTAAATGATCTTTAGAGGACTTGATGATCAGCTGTTTGGACTTTTAACATTTTTATCATCTGTTGTTTTTATTCTTTTATTCGTCGTTTTAAATGAAAGTTGCTGGTGTGCAGAATTAAAGAGAACATGTTGGATCCTCCTCATTCAAATCCATAGTCTCATTATTGTCTCTGAGTATAGTTTGAACTCTCATCGACCTGCTGACCTCTGACCTCTGAGCCCTGATCCAGAGTTTGAGTCCAGATCTGAAGCAGAGCCCAGGTTCTGGTTCTGGTTCTGGTTCTGGTTCTGGTTCTGGTTCTGGTTCAGGTTCAGGTTGTGTTGTGTCAGCGCTGTCCGGTGTACGCTCTGAACCAGGAGGAGACGGAGGCGGCGGCGGAGGAGATCATCCCTCCAGCGTTAGCAGAGGGCTGAGACACCTGCAGTGCACTCTGGGAAAGATCCATGGACTGGAGGAAGAAGAACAATGTTTTAGTTTTGAACCTCTTTTAAAGGTCACCTATTTCACACAATCCACTTCTCCAGGTGTTCCTACCTGTGATGGGATGTCACAGAACCGAGGGCTGGGCACCGTCTCCCAGTCGGTCCCGAGGTCCGTCTCCTCGTCCGTCACCGCCTCGTCTCCGCTCTCCTCCGCCGGCCCGGCCGCCTCCGGCTCCACGAACTCCATCGACTCCTCCAGGTCCGCGCTCACCTCGAAGGGACCCGTCCTGCACCAGAACCACAGAGCGGTCAGTATAAGAGCCTCAATGTTAAAGGTGGGGTCATTTTGGAGAAACCAGCTTGAGATCGCTAGAATTTGAAAAACACAGCCGGAGAAAATCTGCCCCTTCCTCACAGAGCCCCTCCTCCAACACACACGAACGCGCACATGACCAATGAGGGCACCAGATCAGTTTGTGCACAGATGGAAGGCTGACAGGCAGGTAGGCCATCCAGTTATTTTAGCCGGGCCGGCTCAGATGATTGGTCGTGCTTTTTACAGTACTACAGCTTCCACAGATGATATTTCTTTATGGATTTTTTGTCAAAGCACTTCAGATATTCATTGCTATCAGGATGTTAAGAGCATTCCATGGAATATAACAACAAGTGTATCTCCAGCCGGTTTCTCAAACTTACCTACCCCACCTTTAAGGTTTAGGATAGGTAATTCACTTCAGATACACTTGTTGTTATATTCCATGGAATGCTCTTAACATCCCTGATAGCAATGAATATCTGAAGTGCTTTGACAAAAAATCCATAAAGAAATATCATCTGTGGAAGCTGTAGTACTGTAAAAAGCACGACCAATCATGTGAGCCGGCCCGGCTAAAATAACTGGATGGCCTACCTGCCTGTCAGCCTTCCATCTGTGCACAAACTTATCTGGTGCCCTCATTGGTCATGTGCGCGTTCGTGTGTGTTGGAGGAGGGGCTCTGTGAGGAAGTCTGTTTCGGCTGCATACTTTCTAGCACACTCGAGCTGGTTTCTCGATTCTTACCTTACCTTTAAGTAATGTTTTTTTTTTTTAAATCAGAGTTTAGTTTAGTTTATTTGTTTATAGTGTTGTTGATCAACTGTCACAAAAAACAGTAAATGGGGCAGCTTTAGCTAACATGGCTAATTTCCAGCTGTTGTCCAGATGATAATGGACACCTTTTTAAAATCACAATACATCAACAGCATTAGTTATAAAGAAAGGATGAGAGACAAGTGGAAAGAGGCGAGAGGACGCATTTAACGAGTGACAGGATTCTTCCTCGAGCTGCAGGGTTTGGTAGAAATAACTCATTGCGATTTTTCGGACTGATTTTGCAAAAGGATTCTTTGGAGGGATTCATCGTTTGAAACAATATTTAAAATACTGAGGAAATACAACAGCTACAAATTATTATTATTATTATACCATTCTTTGTTTTATTTGGCATTTTTAATTAAACATAAATATTATACAAATAATACATTTTTTTTTTTTTCACTGTGCAACCAGTTTAATTTATACTACATTATGTTTATCTATCCTAATAAATCATGTTTCATAACTGATCATCTGCTAGACGTGGACAAATGAAGCTCAGCGCAAGTTCAACCAGGAAGACCATCTTTACTCATTAATTTCCTATGTCTATGTTCCTACTCTCTCTCCTCTCAATAAGTGATCGGGGGCGTCACTCCCCAGCTTAACCAATCACTTCGCTCTATTCTCACAAGCCTATCACAGCGCTCCGCTAACCCTTTAAAATCTGCTCTCCCCTCTGACAGCTGTCATTTCAGGTGACTCGACGCAACCCCCCTCCACCCCTTTTCACCTCCTGTCCCTCTGAATCCAGGGTCAAGCTAAGCCACTCCCCTTCAGACCGACCCAAACTATCCATTCACCACCACCAGGGTCAAGCTAAGCCCCTCCCCTTCAGACCGACCCCAACTATCCATTCACCACCACCAGGGTCAAGCTAAGCCACTCCCCTTCAGACCGACCCCAACTATCCATTCACCACCACCAGGGTCAAGCTAAGCCCCTCCCCTTCAGACCGACCCCAACTATCCATTCACCACCACCAGGGTCAAGCTAAGCCACTCCCCTTCAGACCGACCCAAACTATCCATTCACCACCACCAGGGTCAAGCTAAGCCCCTCCCCTTCAGACCGACCCCAACTATCCATTCACCACCACCAGGGTCAAGCTAAGCCACTCCCCTTCAGACCGACCCCAACTATCCATTCACCACCACCAGGGTCAAGCTAAGCCACTCCCCTTCAGACCGACCCCAACTATCCATTCACCACCACCACCAGGGTCAAGCTAAGCCCCTCCCCTTCAGACCGAACCCAACCATCCATTCACCACCACCAGGGTCAAGCTAAGCCCCTCCCCTTCAGACCGACCCCAACTATCCATTCACCACCACCAGGGTCAAGCTAAGCCACTCCCCTTCAGACCGACCCCAACTATCCATTCACCACCACCAGGGTCAAGCTAAGCCCCACCCCTTCAGACTGACCCCAACCATCCATTCACCACCACCAGGGTCAAGCTAAGCCACTCCCCTTCAGACTGACCCCAACTATCCATTCACCACCACCAGGGTCAAGCTAAGCCACTCCCCTTCAGACCGACCCCAACTATCCATTCACCACCACCAGGGTCAAGCTAAGCCCCACCCCTTCAGACTGACCCCAACCATCCATTCACCACCACCAGGGTCAAGCTAAGCCACTCCCCTTCAGACCGACCCCAACTATCCATTCACCACCACCAGGGTCAAGCTAAGCCCCTCCCCTTCAGACCGACCCCAACCATCCATTCACCACCACCAGGGTCAAGCTAAGCCCCTCCCCTTCAGACCGACCCCAACTATCCATTCACCACCACCAGGGTCAAGCTAAGCCCCTCCCCTTCAGACCGACCCCAACTATCCATTCACCAATCGCCAAACACTCCATTACATTCATTTGTGTATTCCTGGCAATAAATATGTATTCTTATCAAAACCGTCTCTCCTGATTTAAATCTTAATATTCGAAGTGATCCGAAAATATGAAGATCTATTTCAAATGATCGGTAAGAAAGATTTTGTTTGGAGTCTGTAGAATATGATTAGTAGACATCTCTGCAGCACTACAGTGTCTCACCGGCCCAGGTTGTCGTTTTCGGGGGAAACCAGAAACATGATGTTCCTCAGAGTGTGGTGGGGGTGCAGCTTCTCACTGTCCACATGCTGGAAACACACAGAGGAAGACGAAGATGAAGCACCTGGAAACGGCTTTGAAGTCAAAGTCAACTTTATTGTCAATCTTTCAGTTTGTGTGTACAGACAGAGAGATCAAAATACCACACAAATATGTATATACCTATATACACAATCATAAGACACATGTATACATATTCACACATTAAGACCTAAATAAAAGCACAACAATCAATATATACAAAATACCAGTCACTTCAATATCTTTGAGAATGTGCATTAGTGACTTTAGACTGTCCATAGCAGCGTAAAGAAAGTGTCTATGAATCTGATGTAGTGGAGAAAGTGTCTATGAATCTGATGTAGAGGAGAAAGTGTCTATGAATCTGATGTAGTGGAGAAAGTGTCTATGAATCTGATGTAGTGGAGAAAGTGTCTATGAATCTGATGTAGTGGAGAAAGTGTCTATGAATCTGATGTAGTGGAGAAAGTGTCTATGAATCTGATGTAGTGGAGAAAGTGTCTATGAATCTGATGTAGTAGAGAAAGTGTCTATGAATCTGATGTAGTGGAGAAAGTGTCTATGAATCTGATGTAGTAGAGAAAGTGTCTATGAATCTGATGTAGTGGAGAAAGTGTCTATGAATCTGATGTAGTGGAGAAAGTGTCTATGAATCTGATGTAGTAGAGAAAGTGTCTATGAATCTGATGTAGTGGAGAAAGTGTCTATGAATCTGATGTAGTGGGAGAAAGTGTCTATGAATCTGATGTAGTGGGAGAAAGTGGCTATTGATCGGATGTAGTAAAGAAAGTGTCTCTGAAGCTGATGTAGTGGAGAAAGTGCTCCTATGAATCTGAACTGTTAAGTAAAGAAAGTGGTTCCTCTGAATCTGATGTAGTGGTAGAAAGTGTCGTATGAATCTGATGTAGAGACGAAAGTGTCTAATGATCTGATGTAGTGGGAGAAAGTGTCTCTGGAATCTGATGTAGTGGAGAAAAGTGTCTATGAATCTGATGTAGTTGGAGAAAGTGTCTATGAAATCTGATGTTAGTGGAGAAGTGGTCCTATGAATCTGATGTAGTAAAGAAAGTGTCTATGAAATCTGATGTAGAAGGAGAAAGTGTCTATGAATCTGATGTAGTTAAAGAAAGTGTCCTATGATATCTGATGTAGTGAGAAGTGGTCTAATGAATCGGTGAAGAGGAGAAAGTGTCTATGAATCTGATGTAGAGGAGAAAGTGTCTATGAATCTGATGTAGTAAAGAAAGTGTCTATGAATCTGATGAAGAGGAGAAAGTGTCTATGAATCTGATGAAGAGGAGAAAGTGTCTATGAATCTGATGTAGTAGAGAAAGTGTCTATGAATCTGATGTAGTGGAGAAAGTGTCTATGAATCTGATGTAGAGGAGAAAGTGTCTATGAATCTGATGTAGTAAAGAAAGTGTCTATGAATCTGATGTAGAGGAGAAAGTGTCTATGAATCTGATGTAGTGGAGAAAGGTATGAATATGATGAGGAGAGGAGAAAGTGTCTATGAATCTGATGTAGTGGAGAAAGTGTCTATGAATCTGATGTAGTGGAGAAAGTGTCTATGAATCTGATGTAGTAAAGAAAGTGTCTATGAATCTGATGTAGTGGAGAAAGTGTCTATGAATCTGATGTAGTAAAGAAAGTGTCTATGAATCTGATGTAGTAAAGAAAGTGTCTATGAATCTGATGTAGAGGAGAAAGTGTCTATGAATCTGATGTAGTGGAGAAAGTGTCTATGAATCTGATGTAGTGGAGAAAGTGTCTATGAATCTGATGTAGTAAAGAAAGTGTCTATGAATCTGATGTAGTGGAGAAAGTGTCTATGAATCTGATGTAGTAAAGAAAGTGTCTATGAATCTGATGTAGTAAAGAAAGTGTCTATGAATCTGATGTAGTGGAGAAAGTGTCTATGAATCTGATGTAGTGGAGAAAGTGTCTATGAATCTGATGTAGTGGAGAAAGTGTCTATGAATCTGATGTAGAGGAGAAAGTGTCTATGAATCTGATGTAGTGGAGAAAGTGTCTATGAATCTGATGTAGTGGAGAAAGTGTCTATGAATCTGATGAAGAGGAGAAAGTGTCTATGAATCTGATGTAGAGGAGAAAGTGTCTATGAATCTGATGTAGTGGAGAAAGTGTCTATGAATCTGATGTAGTGGAGAAAGTGTCTATGAATCTGATGTAGTAGAGAAAGTGTCTATGAATCTGATGTAGTGGAGAAAGTGTCTATGAATCTGATGTAGTGGAGAAAGTGTCTATGAATCTGATGTAGTAGAGAAAGTGTCTATGAATCTGATGTAGTAAAGAAAGTGTCTATGAATCTGATGTAATGGAGAAAGTGTCTATGAATCTGATGTAGTGGAGAAAGTGTCTATGAATCTGATGTAGTGGAGAAAGTGTCTATGAATCTGATGTAGTAAAGAAAGTGTCTATGAATCTGATGTAGTGGAGAAAGTGTCTATGAATCTGATGTAGTGGAGAAAGTGTCTATGAATCTGATGTAGTGGAGAAAGTGTCTATGAATCTGATGTAGTAAAGAAAGTGTCTATGAATCTGATGTAGTGGAGAAAGTGTCTATGAATCTGATGTAGTAAAGAAAGTGTCTATGAATCTGATGTAGTGGAGAAAGTGTCTATGAATCTGATGTAGAGGAGAAAGTGTCTATGAATCTGATGTAGTAGAGAAAGTGTCTATGAATCTGATGTAGTAAAGAAAGTGTCTATGAATCTGATGTAGAGGAGAAAGTGTCTATGAATCTGATGTAGTGGAGAAAGTGTCTATGAATCTGATGTAGTGGAGAAAGTGTCTATGAATCTGATGTAGAGGAGAAAGTGTCTATGAATCTGATGTAGTGGAGAAAGTGTCTATGAATCTGATGTAGTGGAGAAAGTGTCTATGAATCTGATGTAGAGGGAGAAAGTGTCTATGAATCTGATGTAGTGGAGAAAGTGTCTATGAATCTGATGTAGAGAAGAAAGTGTCTATGAATCTGATGTAGTGGAGAAAGTGTCTATGAATCTGATGTAGAGGAGAAAGTGTCTATGAATCTGATGTAGTAGAGAAAGTGTCTATGAATCTGATGTAGTGGAGAAAAGTGTCTATGAATCTGATGTAGTAAAGAAAGTGTCTATGAATCTGATGTAGTAAAGAAAGTGTCTATGAATCTGATGAAGAGGAGAAAGTGTCTATGAATCTGATGTAGTGGAGAAAGTGTCTATGAATCTGATGTAAGAGGAGAAAGTGTCTATGAATCTGATGTAGTGGAAGAAAGTGTCTATGAATCGGATTGTAGTAAGAAAGTGTCTATGAATCTGATGTAGTAAAGAAGTGTCCTATGAATCTGATGTATAGAAAGTGTCCTATGAATCTGATGCTAGGGGAAAGTGTCTATGAATCTGATGGAGAGAGAAAGTGGTCTATGATCTGATGTAGTGGAGAAAGTGTCTATGAATCTGATGTAGAGGAGAAAGTGTCTATGAATCTGATGTAGAGGAGAAAGTGTCTATGAATCTGATGTAGTGGAGAAAGTGTCTATGAATCTGATGAAGAGGAGAAAGTGTCTATGAATCTGATGTATGAGGAGGAAAGTTTCTAGGAATCTGATGTAGAGAGAAAGTGTCTATGAATCTGATGTAGAGGAGAATTGTCTATGAATCTGATGTAGGGAGAAAGTGTCTATGAATCTGATGTAGAGGGAGAAAGTGTCTATGAATCTGATGTAAGTAGGAGAAAGTGTCCTATGAATCTGATGTAGTGGAGAAAGTGTCTATGAATCTGATGTAGTAAAGAAAGTGTCTATGAATCTGATGTAGTAAAGAAAGTGTCTATGAATCTGATGTAGTGGAGAAAGTGTCTATGAATCTGATGTAGAGAAAGTGTCTATGAATCTGATGTAGTAGAGAAAGTGTCTATGAATCTGATGTAGTGAGTGTCTATGAATCTGATGTGGAGAAAAGTGTCTATGAATCTGATGTAGTAAAGAAAGTGTCTATGAATCTGATGTAGTAAAGAAAGTGTCTATGAATCTGATGTAGTAAAGAAAGTGTCTATGAATCTGATGTAGAGGAGAAAGTGTCTATGAATCTGATGTAGTGGAGAAAGTGTCTATGAATCTGATGTAGTAAAGAAAGTGTCTATGAATCTGATGTAGTAAAGAAAGTGTCTATGAATCTGATGTAGTAAAGAAAGTGTCTATGAATCTGATGTAGTAAAGAAAGTGTCTATGAATCTGATGTAGTAAAGAAAGTGTCTATGAATCTGATGTAGTAAAGAAAGTGTCTATGAATCTGATGTAGTAAAGAAAGTGTCTATGAATCTGATGTAGTGGAGAAAGTGTCTATGAATCTGATGTAGTGGAGAAAGTGTCTATGAATCTGATGTAGTGGAGAAAGTGTCTATGAATCTGATGTAGAGGAGAAGTGTCTATGAATCTGATGTAGAAGAGAAAGTGTCTATGAATCTGATGAAGAGGAGAAAGTGTCTATGAATCTGATGTAGTAAAGAAAGTGTCTATGAATCTGATGTAGAGGAGAAAGTGTCTATGAATCTGATGTAGTAAAGAAAGTGTCTATGAATCTGATGAAGAGGAGAAAGTGTCTATGAATCTGATGAAGAGGAGAAAGTGTCTATGAATCTGATGTAGAGGAGAAAGTGTCTATGAATCTGATGTAGTGGAGAAAGTGTCTATGAATCTGATGTAGTAAAGAAAGTGTCTATGAATCTGATGTAGTAAAGAAAGTGTCTATGAATCTGATGTAGAGGAGAAAGTGTCTATGAATCTGATGTAGAGGAGAAAGTGTCTATGAATCTGATGTAGTAAAGAAAGTGTCTATGAATCTGATGTAGTAAAGAAAGTGTCTATGAATCTGATGTAGTGGAGAAAGTGTCTATGAATCTGATGTAGTAAAGAAAGTGTCTATGAATCTGATGTAGTAAAGAAAGTGTCTATGAATCTGATGTAGTGGAGAAAGTGTCTATGAATCTGATGTAGAGAGAAAGTGTCTATGAATCTGATGTAGAGGAGAAAGTGTCTAT